CCCAGTACTTCAATGTCTCAAGGGAATACAAATACAGGAACAGTTACTTCTTCACCATATTTTTCATATAATAGTCACGTAAATCTGCCTATTCCAAATCATGAAGTTTATGTATATATTGGAGATAATCAAGTGAACTGTGGCCTCCCTACAACAACCCAGACAACCCAGACTACCCAGACTACCCAGCCTACCCAGACTATCCAGACTATCCAGACTACCGAGAATAATTCTGAAAAACAGGAAGATCCCGTAAAGACAAAATTAGAGGCTGATAATTCAAGGGAATTGATCGAAACTATTATGCCATACTTGAATTCAGATTTTGGATTGATATCTTCTGAAGTAATTCATGATTTCCTTCATAAAGTCAAAGATACTCCCCTAAGTGAACGTGGGTTAATTCTGCATATCATTGATCAAACAAAAGATTCAGAAACACTTAAAAATTTAGTGTCTGAAAGAGCTCATTATTTATTAAGGAATTGGATCATCGATGAGGCAAAAACACCTGATAGTGAATTGTTGCTCAAATTGCTTCATACTGTCAATCATCTTCCAATTGATATTGAAGCCTTGTCAGCAAGTGGGCTTGGAAAGGTGATAAATAATAAAAGCGTAAAAGATTCACAAAAAGCAGGGGTTTCTGCATTAGCCTCTTTGCTTATAAGCAAATGGAAAGAAGAAAAAAAACAACATGATGCTAAACTCGTCCAAGAAGCAAAATTAGCGTCATCATCATCATCTAATGTCGCAGCAACCATTAATGCAAGGACAGGAGTACGGCCTAATTCAATGCCGTCTAAAACATCACAAGCTAATCCATCAGCATCATCCAAAGTATCAAAAGGAAAGGAGGTGTCAGTTCGTGTTAAGCCATCAACTGAGTCCAAAGCGAAGGAAATTGATCCTAAATTGCAAGCGAGGCCCGATACAAATATTTTTGATGAAATTATTGGGCTGAATACTGCAAAACCAGTAAAGCAGGCAAACAAAATAGTTAGAAAGGAGCAGCAAAAATCACCAGCGGTTGTAAAAGTTGCTACCGAAAAGCAAGAACCTTCAACGATGGTAGGTACTTCGAAAAATTCAGCGGAAGTAATGGAAGATAATGGATCAATAGTAAGGAAAGAGCAAGAGAATGGACAGTCATTGACAATAAAAGAGAATAAGAGGGAAATTAAAGTTGCTACATCGAAAAAAAGGAAACGGGTGACTTTTGCACCTGATAGCATGCTTACTCAAGTTAAAGTATTTGAAGAGGAATATGATGAAATGGAAGGAGAATTTTCAGCAGCAAATACACCACATCAATTTGGGAATGCACGAGATCTTGATAGAAATGAAGGATTAACAGCTTTCAAAAGGGTACGGAAAGCGCCAGCAATTCAGTGGTATACTACGCCCATGCTGGATCTAACCAGCAAGAAAATAACAAAACCAACTAAGGCGGAAAGTGAGGAAGCAAGAATACAAGAAGAGCGAGAACGACAGATTTTTGAAACATTGTATATTACGTCAGATCAAGTTCCATTTTCACCAGCCGAGCCTGATGAAAATATACAGAAAAACCGAAATGGTAATATAACATATCATGATATAATTTTGAACGCAGAATCTGACGAAGAGGATGTCGATGAAGAAGCTGGTGATAATGATTCAGACAGTCGACCTTTTATTTCTGAAGAATTATTTACACAATTATTAGATATATATTCAAAGTGGCAAGCTATGCAATTAAATCCATCCGTATTTTCATCGAGTACGGTTGGAATAGAACCTAAAACAATAGTAAATAATTTGACAGGGATGCCAATTCCTTCACAACTTCCTGCAACCCAACAACAACCTCCTACTGCATGGAATTTTGATATAAATCAACCTAGCTCTATAATAAATTACCATCAACAACCGCCATCAGGGATTCAACCGTCCGCTAATGTTGCATCACAACAACACGCATTTCCACAACAATATCCAGCAACGAACAATATGCCGAATCAACAACCAGCATATCAATATTCAAACTTGTTTGCTCCTCCGGCAAATCAGAATAAAGAATTTTATCCGCCACATAGCAAGGAACCAGGATTACAACAACCTCAACCAACTTATAACGGTGATTCATCAAACCGTCCGTATTCTGATTCAGGATTTGGACGACAACCACAACAACCTCAAGCATCTGCGGTTGGTAGAAGCGGAAGAGGAAGGGGTGGACGGCCAAGAGGTGGGGGTCAAACCGAATCGGGAAGACCTGTTAGTGGGAGAGGATCAGAATGTTGGTATTTTAAATCAGGAAGATGTAATTTGGGTGATGATTGTAAATTTCTACATGTTGATCATTAAAGTTCCGAACTGGA